GTTAATTCTATTTTTCTATCTTTTTTTAGACATTGCGTGAGGGTTTTTGTAATTTTCGCGAAATCTTTAATGAATTTCCTATAATGTCCAAGTAATCCTAGGAAAGATTTTATTTCTCTATGTTTTTAGGATTGGGAATTTTTTTATTGCTATGATTTTTTCCGGGTTCGGTCTGATTCCGTCTGGTGTGACTATATGTCCAAGAAATTCTACGTTTCTTTTCAAAAATTCAGATTTGTCTAATTGTACTCTCAAACTTACTTTTCTTAATGTGTCGAATATTCTTTTTAAATTGGAAATGTGTTCTTGTAACGAAGTGGAGAAAATAATGATGTCTAGGTATACAAGGCAAATTTTGTTAATGTGTTCTCTAAGAACATTATCTATCATACGTTGAAAGATGCTTGGAGCATTCTTCAATCCAAATGGCATTCGTAAGAATTCGTAGTGTCCATGTTCTGTGTTGAATGCTGTTTTTTGAATTGAATTTGGTGACATTTCTATTTGGTGAAATCCAGAGGCGAGGTCTAATGTCGTAAAGTAACAACTTCGTCCTAATTTGTCTAAAATGTCGGTTGTGTTAGGAATTGGATATATGTCTGTGATAGTTTTGTTGTTTAGGGATCGGTAGTCAATAACTATTCTCCATTTTTTCTTTCCAGAGGCGTCTGCTTTTTTCGGAACTATCCAGATGGGTGAACTCCATGGTGATATGCTAGGTCTAATTATTCCATCGTTTAACATTTTGGAAAGTTGATTTTGTACTTCTTATTTGTATATGTGTGGGTATCGATAAGTTTTAGTATGACATGGTGTTTCGTCAGTGGTTTTAATTTCGTGTTTAATGGTGCTTGTAAAGGTCAATTGGTCTGAAGGATGAAAATATCCACATATTCTTCACATAAATTTAGGATTGCGTATTTTTCTTCTTTATTTAAATGATTTACTCTAATGGATTCTTTTACATTAATTTTATCGCGTGTTATAGGTGGTATAACTTCACAATTAAAAATTTCGTAATCTTCTACATTAAAAGGTTCAGAATTTTGAAAGTCATAAAGATAGATGATTTGATGTTTGTTGTGGACTTCGATTTCTGCAAGGTGATTTTCGCTATTCGTTAAAATTCTAGGGACATAAATTTTGCCTGAGTTGAGTTCTGGTATGATTATATTTCCATTTTCTTCTTTTACAGGAATTTGAATTCGTCTGATTTCTAAAGGGTTTAAGTCGTAACTAATTGTGCTGAAATTATCCCTTACACAAAGTGGAATTTGGACATGATCATTTTCTAAAGTTTGTTCTGAAAAATTTATGTTCAATTTGGCATTAATTAATTCTTGTAATCCATCCAAATAATTATGAAAATCGTATAAAACACAATTAATTGGAATGTTTGATTGAAATTCACGAAAAGGTGGAATAGTAGCTTTGTATAATGCTTTTGTTTTTCCTGCACATGTTTGTAGTATTGTGGGATCTAGATAAATTTTATTCGGGAAATTTTGTTCAATAATCGCTGGTCTGATAATTGTAAAAGAACATCTTGTGTCTATTAGAAATTTATACGTGCGGTTGTCAAGGGTTATGTCAATATATGGAAGTGCGTTTATAGCGTTTACGTCGGGTATTGAGCTAACTCGGTATTCTGAAAATTTTGATCGGTTTCTTCTTCTTGAGGTTCTTGAAATTCGGGGTTATTGTTTGCATACATTTCTTCTGTTACGTCTTCGTATCTGTAACGGTCAAATTCTTGTCAATTCTGGTATTCGAGTGTAGAATATGGTGGTTCTTCTTCTATTTCAGTGTTATGTATTTGATAATTATTAATTCCGGACATTGGTTTTGGTTGATTCGCGTATGAGATTCCAGACATTGGTACTGGTTTCGGTAAATTGTTGTTAGTATTTCTGGGTTTCCATACATTTTGTTTGACCGAAAGTCTGTCTATTTGTGGGAAATTGTTCTTTGACTTGTCTAGGTTGAACATTAACTGGTTGGGATGGAAATCTATTTTGATTTTGGTTTTGTGCATTAAATTGAGGCGGTATATTTTGGTTAAAATTTTGATATCTTGGATTTTGAGAAAAATAAGGATTAGTTTGTCTCTGCATCGGTATTAGTGGCTTATTTACAATTTGTTGTTGTTGTTGTGGTTGTTGTTGCCTATTTTGGTATAATTTTGCGAAATTTTGAAATTCTTCTTCTTCTAATACAAAGCTTAAGGCTGCTTCTAACGTTGCTGGATTTTTTAATCTAACTATCGTTTGATAATTTAATGGTAGGTTTGTTACGAACATGGTTTTTGCAATGTTATTATAGTTTCCAATTTGTAGATCTCTGATCTGCGGATCGGGGAAATCGTCGTTAATTTTTGTAATGATTGTCGCTCTTAGTTCCTGTAGTCGTAATCCATAGTCATAGGGTCTTTCGTTTTTGTTAGGTCTAGTTGATGTGAGTTGGTGCGTTAAGTATTGCAGGTCACGTTTGTCTCCAAAAGTTAATTTTAAAAGTTGTTCTATTTGTAACCACGTTTTTAGATCGGTTCTACTAGCGATTAAATTTTGTGCTCGTCCTTTTAATTTATTTTTAACAGCTTGTAATATCAAATTATGCGTGACATGTTGTGGGTCGTCGGGAAAATTCGAAAATGTACTTCGCACTGACTCTATATATGAATGTAGCACTAGGTCATTACCATCAAAGAAGGGTACTGTGTCAATATATAATTTCAAAAGCTGGGTATCTAATCTGTATTCCGATGGAGGCATTGTTATGTTTATGTTATCTAAAGTGTTATTAATGTTATCTAGCGTTTCAAGATTCCTATTCGCGTCCTGGAGTTTTTGCCGGGTTGTCATGAAATTTGGTTCAATGAGTTGGTTCTTTGTTTGTTTGTTTGTTTGCTTTTAACAACTAATGACTTATCAAGTCGCGTTTCTTAAAAATCTAAGGACTTATCAAGTCGCGTTTCTTTGTTTCTTATATACTAATGACAATCAAGTCAGTTTTTGCCAATCGGACAAAATGAGATCAAGTAGTAAAGGAAATGAATGACAGGATTGAATGAGACTTACTGTTCGCTGGTTTTCTTGGGATCGATTCGATTGCGATGGTTGCTATTGCTTATCGGGCACGTTGCTGCTACCGCTGCTCGTTATCGTCCTGGTTCTCTTGGATCGGAAGGCTAGTGATGCGGGCCACACTTGTCAATTGGACACTTGTTCTCGAACACACACCTCTCCCCCAAGCCGTTTCGACTGCGCCAGTGAAGGTTGGGAGCGTTCACAATAAACTCACTGATGTACACTAGATCGTTTATTACTGGAATCTAAATCTCATTTGCAAGAGCTAACAATTTATAGTACTTAATTAATTTACAACGTAAGCTATTTATTTTATCTAGCTAAGCAAGATATCTAATATAGTATTATTGTTATGAAAAAATATAGAATTAGAGATAAAAATATATACAGGGGTTAACGGGATATATTACTAACTTAGTTGTAGATACCTGCGCTATGGACTTATTAACATCTCGCAATAAGTAGCTTTTATTCATATTTAAATATTTAGGAGTGAAATGGATAAACATAGTTTTTGATGTATTTAGATGAAGCTTAAGGTAAGAGGGGAAACATTGACATATCTTCATAATTTCTTTTTTATTAGATCTGATTTTTTTTTTAAATCTAATAATTTCCTGAGACAGGCATACTATATTAGACGAACGGTCCACCCCTAAAAAGATGCTTAGAAAATCAAGGTCACAGACCACGAGGAAAGGCCAGGATGAAACCTTTTGTAATCGATGCATTGAGTTATTGCGAACAAAAAACCTAAGTAACATCTTTGTGTCCGAGTGGCAAGTAATTTGTTATTAACAAAAAAGTTGCAAAATAAAAATATTGCAAAATAACGCTCTGCAAATTATTATATAAATTATATAAATTGAAGCCTAAGTCAATCTTAGAGAATCGTTAAGCAACATTGACACATAAATTTGTTTTATGGCCTTTTTAGGTACTTAGAAACGAACAATTTTTCCTTTTTTTCAAAACTAAGGACTTATTGGGTAAAACAGCCTAAAAACCTTGTTGTTTTTAATGAAATCATATTTTTATTCTGAATAACACAAGAATAATATAATGTAGGAACCTTATTATCAAAAACTGGAACTTAAACTAGGAATTGCAACTTAAAAACATACAAACTAAATTTTGGTACGTGACTTTGGCAAGGTAACAATACTTACTAAACTAATAAATTTTGGTAACTCCTCTAATGTGTGGCACTTTAAAAAAATGCATTCCTCTATTTATCGCCGGTTCGTCAATAATTGCAACTACTTGATTTAATAATACCAACGCTGTGTCCTCAACATCAGGATATACAAAATACAAACCCTTTTTACGTAAAAAGTTAACCTTAATATCGCCATCCATTACTTGTACAACCTTTCCTATGTAATGAATGATATCTTTTTTCCCAGGATATTTAACGACCACCCAATTCCCAAGTTTAACGTTTTGAATGTCAGCATGGGTACTTCTTTGACTGTTGTTTGTTTTAGCCTCAATTACCCCATTTTCTCCTTCTTCAATTATCTCATTCTCTACTTGTTCATTTTCTGCAGTGATCAAATCTTCAAAATCTTCCGGCTCATTGTCACTGTTATCATCATAAATTACCTCACTTTCTGACGAACTGGAGCTAGGTTCTTGTGATTCTTGTGCCTTTCTTTTCTTTTTTTGTTTGCCAATGGTTGCTTTTGGTTTTGCTTTTTTTTTAGATTTTTTTTCTTCTTCCTTTTCACGAAGTCTTTTTAAAACATCATTGTCTGTTAGGCTTTCAGCAAATTTTCTGTTTACTCTGTTTTTCTTCATAACGGTCGATTTTTTTGTTTTCAGTCCTTAGGACTGATAAAATTGAATTTGCTAAACTTGTTTTAATATCTTCTGGTGTAGAAGGACAGGGTGTCTGTTCTGCTATTTTATTCCTTATGTTGTAAGATGTCGACGCAATTGGCCATTTTCGCCTGAGTCCCCAGAAGATGTGGATGGCATCTGAGCAGAATCCTCACCGTTAACAATGTGTGCCATCTGAGATTTTTTTGTCATTTTTTCTAAAGACAAAGGGTAAATGCCCGACCCATCAAAGCCACCTACCGCGTTACTTCTGGACAAACTTGGAGTGTTGGCCAATTTTTTCATTAAAGAAGGGAATACAATTTTATCGACATTTTTATAACACGATTCTTGATAAAAATCTCGAAGTATTTTTTTCCAAGACGCCTTAACCGATTTGTAAACACCAACATCTAGAGGCTGAACTAAATAGGACGTGTGATCTGGTAAACAGAATATTTCGATATTATGTTTTGCGGCTGTTTCAACCAAGTCCAAAGATAAATGTGAGTTATGCCCATCGAAAATAAGAAGCTTAGTACCCTGTAAATCTGAAGTTGAAGGAATAAAACAGTTAGTATACCAATCAAAAAACTGAAGGGACTCCATCCAACCAGACGGTGAACAATTATAACGACAATTCTCCGGTCCGTCCACGCACCAAGTGGAATACAGGTGAAGTCCTTTGTAGTTGATAAACATTGGTAAGAAGTCTCCAACAGCATTGCAACATATAAGGACCGTGTACGTAGCTTTTGTGACGCTACCGACTAATTTGTTTGGATTTCGGCTACCCCTTTTGCACAACACTTTCTGGACACCTGCATCGGTTTGAAAACCAATCTCATCACAGTTAAAGATGTTCTGTGGCTTTTTATCCAAACCGAAATGCGAATAGACAGCTTGCAATTTATTATAACAATCTTCCATTACCTCCCGTGACCCCGCTACAGCTCTATTCTTGGGAAGATTTTGAGCCACTCGTCTACTTATTTCTTTAGACCATCTTTTTTCGAACATCATGCACCAATCAATACCTTGCATTCCATTGCGGAACGGATTCGGTCGATCAAGTTTTTGCACGTAGTCTTGCACGCCAAGCTTAACTAACGTATGCACCAACATTTCCTCTTCTTCATAGGTTAAAACTGTAGGATGTCCAACAGCTTTACACTTAAATCCTTTAAAATGGTTCATTAAAGTAGTCCGGTTTATGCCATAACGTTGAGCGGTTGCCTTAAAACTGTCACCATTTCTAACTGCTTGCAGAGCTTTTTGCATAGCCTCGTGATCATAGGACTTGTACTTTCGAATATTAGGGCGTCTGGGTTTCTTTGTGCGTGCCATCTACAAAAAATTTTGAGAGTCAAAGTTGGCCTAAGGATTACATTGTCAGTGTCAATGTTGGACTAGGAGCTAACATTGACACTGTCAAACATAACCTTAAATTAATTTTCATAAAAAAAATGTTTAGTTTTACAAAATAACTAACTGATACAAAAACTGATTTGTAATATTAAAAGTAGAGCTTAAATTACCTTTAACACCAAAACTTCGGGCCTGTTGACTCAAAATTCACAAAGTTTTCTATGCAAATATTAGGAGCACGTTAAACATCAGCTGTTAAAAGCCGCCGTTATAAATCCACAGGTTGCTGCGGAGCATGCGCATTACGTCTATACAAAGCCTTCGGATGGTAATAGAGCACCATAAAGAGAAAATAGTATGGCTACCAATGTAGTCACATTTTTTATTAGATTTAGAAATTGTGTCAATGTTATACCAATGTCAATGTTATACCAATGTCCGCGCTACCTTATTATCTTTGAACCAACGAGAAAATTTATTTACCATACTTTGCATGTTCTCCATTGCTTCATTCATATCATCTCCGGCTGAAAGGTAGGTGTTACCATCCGCATAAATAATTAGATTTTCTGTTTTGTGAACTACAGCAACAATATCATTTATAAATATTAAGAATAATAAACGACCCAGAATTGATCCTTGGGGAACTCCAACACCTACGTGCAAATTTTCCGATCTGTTCCCATTAATGTCCACACATTGTTTCCCATCATGTAAATATGGGCTTATCCAATCTCCCACTTTTCCGCGAAGACCATATGAAGAGAGTTTGTCTTTGAGCAAGTGATGATCTACGAGGTCAAATGCCTTGCTCAAATCCATAAAAAGTGCGCAAGTTTTATTGTTATCTATATTACTATAAATAAGATTCATAAGCTGGTGCAAAGCGGTATGTGTACCCTTCTTTTTTCGGAACCCATGCTGGGATTTCGTTAATATATTGTGATCAGACAAGATACATCACTCAAGAATTTTAGAAACTGAACTAAGTAATGAAATTGGTCTATAATTTTCGGTTAAGCGTGTATCATCTTTCTTATATAAAGGAACAACACGAGCAGTCTTTAAAATATCCGGAAATATCGCCATCTCCAATGACATATTTATTAAATAAGTAAGAGGTTGTATAATAAATTCTGAAATATGTTGCAAAATATTTGAGGATACTTCATCAAAACCGACATTGACCTCTTCAATGACATAATGGCGTTAAAGGCACAAGTTGCCGACACAGGTTGTATAAACATTGTAGGATAGTTTTTATTTACAAAAAAAATTATATTTATTTTTGTTTGGTCATGGTTCACATATTTTTGTGAAATACTGACAAAATATTCATTGAATATGTTAGCAATACTATAAGCATCACTAACTACTTCAGTATTAAATGTAATTTCCGATACTGTTTGTTTATCACTCTTACCCAAGGTGTTATTAATAATATTCCACGCCGTTTTGCCTTTGTTATTTGATGTTTTAAGTTTTTTATCGTTATACATTTTTTTAGCTGCTAGTATGACTTTTGTATACACTTTTTTATATTTTTTGTAATATTCTTTATCCCTAATATTTTCAGTATGTATCATTGTTTTATAAAGTTCTTTTAGTTTTTCACCAGAAACTTTAATACCTCTCGTAATCCAACCTTTTCTCGTTAAATGTGTATTTACCTTCTTTTTTAATGGAAAAGATATATCTATATAATATTTAAGGATACCAATAAAATTCTGGAAAGCTTCATCAACCGTAGATGCTTCATATACATGTGACCACGATTCAAATTTCACCCAGCTATAAAGTCTGTGATAGTTCTTACAAAAATTACGGGAATGTATTGGTTTATTTGATACTACATTAGTGTCAATTTTAACAAAGGTATTTAGAAATTGTGAGGAATGATCAGACAGACCATCAAAACATACAGAAATACTGGTATCATGAAAATTATCATTAAACAGCGTGCATACATAGTCGACTCCTGAAGAAGATTTATCAGTGCGTCTAGTAGGTTCATCAATTTGAAATGTAAAGCCGTATGATTGCATAATATCACATAGCTCATGTTTTTCACGTTTCATTTTGAAGAAAATCTGTTAGTTTCTATATAAATAATTTATGATCCACTTTATCATCGGCCGACCTAGGAGGTCAGTAGAGTATGTTAGAGAGTTCTAATCCACCCCCCACCACTTTTTTTGGCCCAGCCAATCAGAAGACGGAGAGTTCTAATCCGCCCTTCCCACTACTTTCCCCCCACCACTTGGCCCCGCCTCTTTTTGACCCAGCCTATAAGAAGACGGAGAGTTCTAATCCGCCCCTCCCACTACTTT